AACATGAACTCTGGCATTCTGGCTGTAAGGCATGTGCATATTATAGCTATACTATTTTGCCTTAAGGAAGCTGAGCCCATATGCTTCTTGAGTATTCCTACTTGAGGGAGGAGAGATGCTTTCCTTGCTTGCATAGGTTCTTACTAGTGGGCAAGAGTCTAGAACCACAGTAGACAAAAGCAGTGGCATGTACATGTATGTCCATTTTTTATGCAGGAATATGAAGCTGGTTGCTCTCCAGCCCAGAAGAAATCTACATCCCTCTTGGGAAACTCCACCTAGACACTCCATTTTGCCATATCGGTATTATCTGCTTATTCTCTAGGGGCTTACAGGAAATACAGAAGCAACTTTTGCATCCCTTGAAAGAAACCCTAGAAAATAGTACTTTTTCTGTGTTCTTGTATTTCAAGTGTTCTTTCAGTTCTGGGCAGCTCTCTGAATGGTCCACCCCTTATTGTGTCTCTGTTCACATTCTACAAGACAGAAATAGTAGGTTAAAGATAGGACCAGTTAATCTCATGGTTTTCAATTTATTGACTTTCTTGGCAGTAAAATGAGTTTCTTTCCCAAAGAGCTAGAAAACTCTGCCCAGCTTCTGCCTACAGGAAAAATTTGGAGCTACCTTGGAGAGGAGTATTGGAAAGGCACAACTTCTAGTTGGAGTCAGCATCCTTTGTCCTCAAGCCTGAGGTTTTCTGGGGGGGGGCAGTCAGGTCATATTTGCTTGATGTGGTGGACATATTTTTTTGTGCCTTCTTGGTGTTCTTCCTTCTTTTAGCAACACCTTCCCCCTTTCTTTGAAGAACTCTTCACTCTTGCTGTATGACTCTATAGGACTCTGGTAGAGCTGTCCTGTCACAATGTCCTGCCTTCTTTGCCACAGGAGTGGGGCATATGACTCACACTGGACTGGCCAGAATCCTTGTCTAGAAAATAAAAAATAAGAAGGGAGGAATAGCCTCTCTCTCCTTTTGGGCTGCAAGCTATAAAGATGTGACTGCAGAGCTATTTGAGAGTTGTTTCCCTGCGCATGAGGTCAGAGAGATGGTCAAAGAGTTCTGACAACATTCTGTCCCTGGGTATAGATGCTCTGAAAGCTGTTTGTATTCCTGTCCTTTCCAATTACAGGAGCCAGTAAGTCCCCCTTCTTTATCTAGTTCGAGTGGGCTTCTATTATTTGTCATTGAAAGCTCTGTCCTCTAGGCACATCTTTCACCTTGACTGTGAGAAATAAATTTGTGAGACCTGGATCCTTCAAGAGAGCTCTTCTCTGTGGGAGTGCTGCCACTGAATTGGGAAACCTAGTGCTCATCCTGTGGGTGAAGAGTACCCATGGAATTGGAAGCAAGGCAACATGGGATCAGGTTTGTATTTTTGAACGGTCTCTCTGGATCCAAAGTGTGTGGGATAGATTATGGGGGCCAAAGGGGTTAACTCACAGAGTCTTTCTGAGGCCCTGATTAGTGCCTTTTGTTCCTGTCCTCATTTCTTTTCACAGGCCTCAGGAGCTCAACCTATTTCTTTTTCCTTCGATACTTGCTACCATTTTTCTGTCCACTGGGGTACATTTCTCCATAAAGCTCCCTAAAAAGTAGTACATATGTGCCCCAGCTCCCCATATTCTTATCATGCAAAGGAATTTTTATTTTAATAATTTCTTGCTATGTATTATGGGCATTCACATAAGGGTTAACAAAAATTACTATAGCTATTTCAATTAAGGTTCTTCTTTGCGTTGGTAATGGCAACTGGAAGTTCTGATGGCCTTCAGCCATCAGATCCAATGGGACTAAATCTATGAGCAGGGAAATAGACTTAAAGAGATGGTGAATGACACCCCCTTGCCATCATTACTTTTTTTGTTGTCGTTCAGAATGTTTTATTACGAGAGAAAATCCATTTCCTCAGACGTTTGAATTAGACCCAGATGTCTCCTTTCCTTCATAGATCATTTATTTTCTTTTTCTCCAGGCCTTATTCCCAAAGTCCCAGCTAAGGTGGAGCTCTGTATAAAGGGAGGTCAGGCACCCAAAGTGTGTATCTTTTTTTTTTGAGATGGAGTTTCGCTGTTGTTACCCAGACATGATCTGGGTATGATCTCAGCTCACCACAACCTCTACCTCCTGCGTTCAAGCAATTCTCCTGCCTCAGCCTCCCGAGTAGCAGGGACTACAGGCGCGCACCACCATGCCCAGCTAATTTTTATATTTTTAGTAGAGATGGGGTTTCACCTTGTTGACCAGGATGGTCTTGATCTCTTGACCTCGTGATCCACCTGCCTCAGCCTCCCAAAGTGCTGGGATTATATGCGTGAGCCACCGCGCCCAGCCAAAGTGTGTATCTTAACTGGCAAATGGTTACAAAGGGTTCTTTGTTGTATTGGGTTATTGAGGTTTTTCAAGGCTGGGTTGGGAAAATACTGTCTTTCAGCTTCTTCTCTTTTTTGTCAAATTATTATTATTATTTTGAGATGGAGTCTCGTTCTGTCGCCAGGCTGTAGTGCAGTGGCACTATCTTGGCTCACTGCAACCTCTGCTCCCTGGGTTCAAATGATTCTCCTGCATCAGCCTCCCAAGTAGCTGAGATACAGGTGCGCACCACCACACCCTGCTAATTTTTGTATTATTAGTAGAGTCGGAGTTTTACCACATTGGCCAGGATGGTCTTGATCACTTGACCTCGTGATCCACTTGCCTCGGCTTCCCAAAGTGTTGGGATTACAGGTGTGAGCCACTGCACCCAGCGTCAAATTATTTTTTTCTTTTTTTTTTAACTTTTGAGGTAGGGGGCTTTCCAGTCTTTACTGGAAACTTAAAAATTTGTATTTGGACAAATTCTAAAAGACCTGTAACACTAGTTTGTTCTCAACTAATTCATAGATATCTTCCAAAATAGCTCATTGAATAGAGATGTATAAGACAAGTTGATAGTCATTGTGGCAGAGTAGCAGGCAGAAGTGGAAAGCAAAGGGTTAAAGAGATTATTATAGTTGGAGCATGAGAACTCTGGTTGTATTGCTGACATTTTCTTTGTGGCATTGACAGATTTGCTGCCAATGCACAAAGATGTTGCTTAAGCATTGGAACCATATCCTGGCTTCTAGGTAATATGATGGAGTACTCACCAGAGCCTTAGATGAGGGTTCTTAAGCTAGGTGAATATCCACAGTCTTTTTGTTTCTTGAATTAAGAAATGTATTATCGGGCCAGGCACGGGGGCTCACGCCTGTAATCCCAGCACTGTGGGAGGCCAAGGCGGGTGGATCACGAGGTCAAAAGATCGAGACCATCCTGGTCAACATGGTGAAACTCCGTCTCTACTAAAAATACAAAAAATTAGCTGGTCATGGTGGCGTGTGCCTGTAATCCCAGCTACTCAGGAGGCTGAGGCAGGAGAATTGCCTGAACCCAGGAGGCGGAGGTTGTGGTGAGCCGAGATCGTGCCATTGCACTCCAGCCTGGGTAACAAGAGCGAAACTCCATCTCAAAAAAAAGAAAAGAAAGGAAATGTATTATCACCAAAAAGCCTATTATTATTATTATTTTTTAACTTTGCTCTGGGTGTTTAAGGGCTTGAAGTATCAAAGGGCTTTTAGGTGAGAAATACTTTGCTTAATTAAATGTGACATTTTTCAGCCTCTCTAAGGGAAGTGAAAAAAAGGCACTTTTCCTCGCAAGGAAAACTGAAAGCCTTATGCTGACTTAACCAGCCATAGAAGGTTAATCCGCGAAGAAAATCCCTTTTCTCATTCATTCCAAAATAAATTTGTTCTTTTACACTATGGTCTATATTAAGTGTTGGGTATGTAAAATCTAGTTCTAGCGTCAAGAAACTTACAGCTCAGTGGGGAAATATACAATGAAAATCATAAAATATCAAAGCATATTTCTTTACAGTGAGAGGTCAAAGAGTGAGAGGTCTCCAAGTCTGTCTAGGGGAGATAAAAAAGGCTTTCCTGAAGAGGTAGCATGTAAACAGAGACAGGGTGGGGATTCTATGCAGAGTAACCAAAGTGTGCTTTTAAAAGATTTGAGAATCTTGGTCCAGTTGAGGAACTACCTGTTGAGCCTGCTGGGAGTGTATAGGGCTGGGAGGACGCCTAAGACCAGACACCTGAACAGCAGTCAGCACTTCAGGACTTCTGTGTGCCATTAAGTTTCTAATACTATTCTACTCTAGAGCCATTATAGAGTTCTAACAACTCTACATTTGACTAAAGAGACCATTTAAGGCTGTTTAAAGCAAATGCCCAGGAATAAATTCTCAGAACCATCATCCCTCTCAAAAATCTTGTCAGGCATGGTGCCTTAACTCACAGAATTAATCTTTCTTAAGTTAAACGCGCGGCTGTCAAAGCTAGGGAATTCCTAGCCCTCTCAGGTGGGCCATGGGAGGAGGCGGGCCAACAGTTTCTTATGTCCAGGCTCATAGTCTGATAGTTGAGCCTTACATCTCTCCTCTAACCCTCGACAATAAACTGGTTGTTATGGAGGCAATGGAGGCGGAGGGCTTTTAGGGGCCAAGCATATCACACAGGGAACTGAATGAATTGCTTATTACCAGAGAGGCTGACCTTTGGAGCTCTGCAGTAAAGAATTTTGGTATCTTTCTTCCTCCACCTCCCCCATTTTTTTTTTTCAGCCCTTTGTCCCCCAGGATTCCCTTTTCAGACTTCCTGCTTTCTTCCTCCTCTTTACCTACTTCGTGGCGTGCTGGCGCGTGGGGCCTGGGGCGGCATTGAGCGCGCACTCGGAGCTATTACTTTGCTAACAATTTCATCCTTCTCTTTCCGTCATTCCCTGCCAGGCGCTGAGTTTTTCCCTCCCTCTCGGCTCCTTCCCTCCCGTGGCTCGTCCGCGGGAGGGCGTCTCCAGGAACTCCAGGCGGACGCGGCCACGAGCCGCTGCCACGTCTCCGCCGCCAGCACTCCAGCGCCTGCGTGGACTTGGGGGGCGGGGCAGCGCTGGGAGGCGGAACCTGCGCGTTAGCGGCGAGTGAGCGGTCCAATGGGGCCTACCGGCGGCGGCGCGGTGTGCGCCGGGGGGCGGGGCCTGGCGGCGGTTGCTGGCGGAGCCCGAGAGGCGGTGAAGGCTGTCGTTGCCTTGGACGTTGCATCCCAGAGGGAGTCGTGTCGGTACCACCTCGGCCTCTGAGCCCGTGGATTGCCCACCGAAGCTCGTGTGTGCACCCCCGGGTCCCGCCAGCCGCTAGCCCCTGGCCTTGCGGGACGTGTCTCCGGCATCATGTGTGGTAAGGGGGCCGGGGGCGGGGGGCGTGTTGCCGGGCGGCGCTGGGGTGCTGTGCGGGCGCCGCTGAGGCCCGAGGCTACGGGCGGAAGCGGGGGTGTGGAGGGTGCGAAGTCTGGGTGATGGGCAGGGGGCGTCCCGTGGTGGCTGCAGGGGCAGGGGCCGGCATCCGCAGGCGGGAGAGGGGGTGGCGGCCGGGAGACGGGCACCTGAGAGGAAGGCGGGCCCCCTCCGCCGGGGGCCAGCGGGAGCCTTTGCGCGGAGCAGGAACCGAGTGGGGAGGGAAACGCTTTAATTGAAAAAGGAGGAGAGGGCTGAGGGAATTGAGGTGTGGAGGGGGGTACCTTCAAAAGGCCGACCAGGTGAGTGAGGCAACCTGTGGAACGTCGGGTGAGGTCTCTTGAACTTATCTTGCATTTTTCTAGGATTTACCTTAAAAAAAATCTATTTTTACTTGTTTTCGGGCAGGCCCAATAGAAAACAGACCCTAGCTACAGCCATGATAGTGGCATTAAACGTGGTCTTACTTCCTGCCATCCCTTGTCTCAACAGAAACCATTGCTAATCAATAACTTGGTTAATGGACTTAGACCTGATCCTCTGGTGGAAGGGGCCTGGAAATGCCTGTGGCGATAGGTTATACATCATTTATCATTTGCATGTGCACCCATTAAAAATGCCAGCTATGAAAAATATAATTTATTCCTTGGATGTATACCCCTTTATAATACCAACTATGAAAAATATTTATCATTTATCCCTTTTGTGTGTACCCATCAAAAATACTAGCTATGGAAAGTTGAACAAGTATCTTTCCTACAGCAGTTAAAAAATTAAAGTTAGGCTCTTTTATGTCTTGACAATCGTTTTTATTATTACCTAAGTGTTAGTGAAAGAGATTGTGAGAATAGTGTCTGACATGACTGATGTCCTCTAAAACTGGTATTAACTTGGCTATTGCCAGTAAAAGTAATTGTATTCTTACCTTTCTTATTGAAATTTACAACCGATTTTATCCCTGGAAGAGAGAACACTTTTTTTTTTTTTTTTTAAAGGGAAGTACCATTGTAAGTGAATTGAAACTCTCTGGGAGACTTATTTGCAGCCTTTTGCACGAAGGAACTGAACAGGAGGTGGATTGTACTCATTAATATATATATTTCCTGTATTTAACTTTATGCTCATTTCAGCTTCTGAAAATGAGGAGCAGGTTTAAATTTAGAGTAGATTAAAAAAAAACCCACATAAAAACAGAAACACCTATAAATAGCTTACTGAAATTATTAGAGTAGAGCTGACTTCAGAATCAGACTTTTGCAGTGTCTAGTTAATAGAATGGTTTTGCATTTAGTTTGGAGCTGTAAAATAGTGAATTTGTCAACTGGTCAATCTCCAGTGTGCTTCATTTGTTAACTGTTTCTGATTGATTAGGTGTGTGCCTCATTAAGTATTCGGTATTCTGGTTGCAGGTCATTTCCTTATGTTCCAGAAAAAACCCATAAAGTACTTGTTGGGGAAGGGGGGGGGCAGAATCCGGGCATGGTGGCTCACACCTGTAATCCCAGCACTTTGGGAGGCCAAGGCGGGTGGATCACCTAAGGTCAGGAGTTCGAGACCAGCCTGGCCAACATGGTGAAATCCCCGTCTCTGCTAAAAATTCAAAATAACCAGGTATGGTGGCACGTGCCTGTAATCCCAGCTACTCGGGACTGAGGCAGGAGAATTGCTTGAACCTGGGAGGCGGAGGTTACAGTGAGCTGAGATTGTGTCCAGCCTGGGCAAAAAAGAGCGAAACTCCATCTAAGAAAAAAATAAAAATACATTCATACATACACAAATAAAATCACATGTAGAAATCAGGTTCAGATAAGGTAAATACACCCTTAGCATGGAGACTAAATGTTGGGAGTGTTCACACAATCTGTGTCTCCATTCTACAGAGTTTTACTGCTGAGGAAATAGGTATTGAAGAAATAAAAAGTGAGTATTTCAGACATTTCTGAGGTCCTGCTTTTAATTCATATCACAGTTTTGCATGATTCTAGGGATAGGGTTCAGAATTTATTTTCTCTCTAATGTAAACTCTGAAAGAAGATGAGTGTCATTATTTTTCACCCACATCTTAATCATTGAACTAAAATTTCTGAGCAGAGAAATGGAGTGAAAATTAGACTAGATGGGAAAATCTGGAAGCCTACCTTCGGATTACTTGATATCTAATTAAGTTTTTCTTTTTCCTTCTTTTCTTTTTTGAGGTGGGGTCTTACTCTCTTGCCCAGGCTACAGTGCAGCAGCACGATCTTGGCTCACTGCAGCCTCTGTCTCCTGGGTTCAGCCTCCTGAGTAGCTGGGATTACAGGGGTGTGCCACCACGCCTGGCTAATTTTTGCATTTTTAGTAGAGGTGGTGGTTTACCACGTTGGCCAGGCTGATCTCCTGACCTCAGGTAATCTACATGCCTCAGCCTCTGAAAGGGCTGTGATTACAGGAGTGAGTCACTGTGCCTGGCTCTAGTTAAGTTTTTCCAAAAGATTATTTTATTTCAATGTTGTAAAATTTTCAAACAGAAGAATGAGGATTGAAGATTCTGATAGGCTTTTTTCAATCGGATATACTGATTAAACTGATACAATGTTTCCAACTTGTGTTGGGATGTTAATAAGTGTTAGGAAAGAAGGGTCTATGGTCCGGTAAATTTGGGAAGCAACATATTAAATAGCATGCTAATGTTTAGTTTTGTTTTTTGATTAGAGGACTTCTTGGAATCTTTAATTTTTTTTTTTTTTTTTTGAAATGGAATCTTGTTCTGTCACCAGGCTGGAGTGCAGTGGCGCCATCTCGGCTCACTGCAACCTCCACCTCCCAGTTCAAGCGATTCCCCTGCCTCAGCCACCCGAGTAGCTGGGACTACAGGTGTACACCACCTCTCCTGGCTAATTTTTGTGTTTTAGTAGAGACGGGGTTTCACCATGTTGGCCAGGATGGTCTCGATCTCCTGACCTCATGATCTGTCTGCCTTGGCCTCCCAAAGTGCTGGGGTCACAGGCCTGAGCCACCACACCCGGCTAGAATCTTAATTTATTAATAATAAGCATTGCGAATCTCCTGGAGAAGAAAGGTGTGTCTATTTTCCAAATTTGTCTTCCTTTTTTTTGGTCAAAATATAGTTTGTCCTTTTTATTTGTATTATTTTTGGTTTTGCTGAGATAGTGTTGAGTCACTTAAACTATCCCTAGCTTTTAACAGATTTTGTTGTTATAAATGTGGCTTTATACCTTTCTGATCCAATGGTGTATATAAAATGGAATTTTTTGACTGGGTCCAGTGGCTCATGCCTGCAATCCCAGCACTTTGGGAGGCTGAAGCGGATGAATCACCTGAGGTCAGGAGTTTGAGACCAGCCTGACCAACATGGGGAAGCCCTATCTCTACTAAAAATACAAAAAAAATTAGCCAGGCATGGTGGCACACACATGTAATCCCAGCTACTCGAGAGTCTGGGGCAGGAGAATCACTTGAACCTGGGAGGCAGAGGTGGAGGTGAGCTGAGATGGTGCCACTGGACTCCAGCCTAGGTGACAAGAGTTGAGACTCTGTCTCAAATAAATAAAATAAAGTAAAATAAATGGAATTTTTGCAAATGAGATCCTTTTTAAAAGCAGTAAAGGAACTTGCAATTTTAAAGTATCCTGAAATAAATTTTGCAGAAGTTTTTTGTAATTATACTGTCTAATGGCTTTGGGGATAATTGAGGGATGCTGAGATTGGCTGCTAGGATTGGTCATAAAAGCAGTACTATTAACATATCGTTAGAAGTCATACTGGATATGAAGAAGTTGTGAGAGAAAATAATTGCTTAATAAGCATTTCTTCAACTGTGTTCCCTGGAAACAGAAGTTAATAGGTTCTGGTAATGAGCACTAGAAGGGGGAAAGGGTTTTGTTAGACAAGTTTGGGAAATTCTGTCTGCTCTTGGAGATGAACAATTAACAAGATTAAAGGCTCTAGAAAGTTCTAAATATATACCTAACTTCAACCAGGTATTTCTTAAACCTTTAATTATGAAACCTTTCTTCATTTCCTTTCTTTTTAGCATCCTGTGAAATATCATTTTGTTTCTGTGGTTTGGGAATTTTTTGACCATATATTTAAAGTGCCTAGAAAGTGTTAGAAGATACTTGCAGGTATTTGAAATGATGGCTTTATACTTGGCACTCTGCCCTTTTCAGAGATGACTAAAGTAAAAGAGTTGCTTTCAAGGAATTGCTGCCTGATCAGAGGAAAGAAAGTTAATGCACATGGAGCAGCTTCAGATGAAAATACACAGTCCTTGTTCATTGCTATGCTGTAGATAACAACCGGAATGAATAGAAATTTAGAGACTGGAGAGCTCTGGGCTTTGGGTATCTGCATTAGGTCAGGAATGTTCTGGGTGATGGGGAAGGACTCTTACTTTGAGGAATAATGCCAGCTTGTAGAGAATTAGCATACTGTGAGACATAATCATTGATGGCTTGTGTTACCCATCAGTGAATGGAGGCGGAAATAGGTTGAGAATTACTACCAGAGGGGTTGAAGGAGGAAATAGAAGTGCCAGGAAAGTAGACCAAAGAATAGTGGTTAAAGGCAAAAGAGTTCCAAAGTAGTATATTGCCTTGGACAGAGTCTGTAAAAGTAGAAAAAGGTCATTAGTATATGATACTTCAGAGAAGTTAATTGGATATGGTTATGAAGAAATCATTAGAGAATGCGTATGTCAAGGCAGAAGGGTCTCGGTTTATGTTTAGGAGGAGGGCTGCAAGTAATACCAAAAAGAAGAGGGAGTGTTTTGGAATTGAAGTTCCCTGGGAGTGTTGAGAAGTTGGAATTTAGAACTGTGGTTCCTGACCTGCAGGCCCTGAAGTTGTTACAGGGTGTTCATTGCTTATTCATATGCTTATAACTTTCTATAAGTTGAATGAAAATTGTTCTGTATCACTGAATGGTAAAAATTTAACCCATTAT